ACAATCATTATAACATATATCTTACCACTAAAACTGAGGCTTATTTATTTTTTAAAAAGTGTAATAGTTCTTAATTTTGGAATTAGGATGCATTGAATAAATGCTATTAAATTATAGTTTAACAATTGAAATCATAGATGGCTTTTTTTTTAAATGCTCGGTTGCTATTTTTTTTGGCGGCTGGCCAGTGAATAGATGGCTTTATCTAAACAAATCCTTTAGTATGAAGAGATAATTTGATGATTTGTGAGAACTATATAACTGCATGTGATTAAAGCTTCATGTATATTTCTCATCTGTCATGACTCAGTTTTCTCTGCAAGCACCATCTTTTTGTGGTATTGTAACGTGTATTTGCTATTTTATATGTGTGTGTGTATATATATATATATTTTTTGGCAGCTGTCTGGTAGGGGGATCCAAACCGTTGACTTTGGTGTTATAACACTGTGCTCTACCAGCTGAGCTAACTGGCCAGACCTATTTTCTTTATATATCAACGTAGTCTGTGGAGGTAATCATTTATTAAAACGGCCCATCTTTTTTTTTTTTTTTTAAAGATGACCGGTAAGGGGATCTTAACCCTTGACTTGGTGTTGTCAGCACCACACTCAGCCAGTGAGCGAACCGGCCATCCCTATATGGGACCCGAACCCGGGGCCTTGGTGTTATCAGCACCGCATTCTCCCGAGTGAGCCACGGGCCGGCCCTAAAACGGCCCATATTAAAAGTAAATTTTCAGGGCCGGCCTGTGGCTTACTTGGCTGAGCGTGGTGCTGACAACACCTAGTCAATGGTTAAGATCCCCTTACCGGTCATCTTTAAAAAAAAAAAAAATTTCAAAAATTAAATGTGCCTAGCCTAATTTTCATAATTGAAAAATGTTTATCTTGGGCCGGCCCTGTGGCTCACTCGGGAGAGTGCGGTGCTGATAACACCAAGGCCAAGGGTTCGGAACCCACATAGGGATGGCCGGTTCGCTCACTGGGTGAGCGTGGTGCTGACAATACCAAGTCAAGGGTTAAGATCCCCTTACCGGTCATCTTTAAAAAAAAAAAAAAAATGTTTATCTTTATTTAAAAATGGAGAGGGGTGGGGAATCTCACTATTACCAGCAAGAGCAACCATATCCAATTGTTTATAGAAGCACATTCAGAATCCTGGTTTTTAAAAGCAAAAACAGTCAAGGAGGCAAATAAAATACTGAAAGTCACATGTGATCATAAGTTTTCTTTTGGTAAACCTTTTAAATGTCCTAAAAATCCTATTTTTAACAATATTTTGAGTATAGAAAATCATCTTGGTTACAATAGTGCACCTTAAAGCACTGTAAGCTCCAGTTTAATTGCTGCTTCATCTCTGAAAAGGTAAGCTTCTGTAGCTTAACTTTTCAAAAACGACCAATTGAGATTTCCCACTTTGCATGAAAAGTTAACACTTTTGAGTAGGAGATTCTAACATTGTAACTGAGTTTGCTGTAAGCAGAATACCACCTTTCGCTAAAGGTGGCAGCATCAGCTGAGGATTTACTTGCTCCCCATAAACTGCTGCAACTGTAAATAAACGAGTATTGTTAATTCCTGTATAATATCAATTCCATGCACCTAAAATAGGCTTTAGAGACTTAGTTTGGCTCAATGCCACATTACCTTTTAAACTATTTTATTTGATCTCATGTGGGTGTCATCCTCTACAGCCTTTGAGGCACATCAGCTCTCCGGTGTTGCCCAAGTACTTAAGAGAAAGCTCATAAAAAACGTAAAATGATTCTCAGAGAGCCTCGCCTGAGTTTTGCAGAAATAATAATTTGCCTTTACCGTGTGTTATTAGAATCTACAGCTGTAACACCCTGAATGCGCCTGATCTCGTCTGAAATGTAACATTAGAAATACTTAATTTAGTAAGATTATTCATCATCCCCCTGGAAACTTAGGTCCACTTAACCTTAGCAGTGTAGAAGGGGTGTCAGCAGTAGGTAACAGCTGGAACCTCAAAGAAGACACCTGTAATACCAACTAGAAAAAACTGCTGTCCGAGGATGTCCAGTAGAAGGGTAAAAAAAAAGCACCAGAAACATCAGCTCCCTGAGAGCAGGAGTATATTAAACTAGCATTTCTTAAATTGTAAAGTCCATTCTCATCCCCTGGGGTGGGGGGGCCTGAGACTCTGCATTTCTAGCAAACTCCCAGGGTAGGACTGACCATGCTGGTTCCTGAGCCACACTCTGAACAGTGAGGCATAATCCCCGTGATGAGATGAAATATGTTCGTACTTTAATGTTTTATAAAGTTTACATGTTGTTATGCTCAGTATATCTTGTTGGCTAACCCCTAGGCGTGTAATAAATACTTAGAAATTTTCCACCAAACATGGTTATAAATTATTTTGCTCTTTAAAGGAATAACACTTACCTGTATAATTTACTTCTTGATGAATCCCTAAGAATACAGAATAGCTACTGAAGGGGCGCACGGACGAAGGAATCACGGGAGACCCGGGCTAACAATTCGCCAGAGAAGTTCCGCTTTATTCAAGGACTGCACGTACATTTATAGGGTGCTGTGCTCCGGGGCGGGAGAGTGGACGGGGCGGTAACTGATTGGACGGGGCTGGGCAGGAGGTGACTGGCTGAGGTTTGGCGCGGGTGGGCTTGGGTGTTGGTGCCAGCGAGCTTGTCTACTGCGGAGAAGAACCAGGAAGGGTGCCATATTGCCAGGGTGTGTCCCTGTTCAGGCGCCCATGGGGTCCCTACAGCTACATTCTTATGGTCTGTACAAATCTCATATTATCCTTTTATTTTCACAGGCCAGTGTACAATTAGGTTGCTTTTATTTTATTTATTTATTTATTTATTTTTTTAAAAGATGACCGGTAAGGGGATCTTAACCCTTGACTTGGTGTTGTCAGCACCACGCTCAGCCAGTGAGCGAACCGGCCATCCCTATGTGGGATCCGAACCCGGGGCCTTGGTGTTATCAGCACCGCACTCACCTGAGTGAGCCACGGGCCGGCCCAATTAGGTTGTTTTTAAATGCAGTAAGAGTATCATGTAAAACTAATAGTAAATCCTAACATACTTCTACGAGGGTATCTCAACAAGTTTGTGGCAAAATAGAACTAAAAGATAATACAAATCTTTCCATGAACTTCTTGAAGACCCCTCATATTATCATTTTAGATATTTTTTCTTTCTCTGAAACCTTTGCTTTTTTTTTTTTGGCGTTTATTCAACATTCATAAGATTTTTTTTCTTTTTTTGGTGGCTGGCCGGTGTGGGGAACCAAACATATGACCTTGGGGTTATAAGGCTGTACTCTAACCAAAACTGAGCTACCCAGCCAGCCCAATCAATAAAAATTTTAGTGCATATACTAACAACACTGTCATGTCCTGAGTTTTAGCTGCTTAAAAACATTTAACGTTTCTTTTCCTCCAACAAACTCTATTTAAAAAAAAAAAAACCCACAAAACTTTTCCCTTCGATAGTATTATTTCAGAAGTTGCCAGTCATCTCTGAACCCAAACTCAGTAATAAGCAACTGTGGCACCACAAGTGGAAATCTGGGGTCAGCGGTTTCATAGAATACACGGGTTTATTGCAATAACCCAAGTGACACTAGCTGAGACTGTCTGACTCACTCACACATGCATATCCCACACTAGGAATGAAAGAGTAATCCTTAGACCTTTGCCAGAGGACCACAGATGAATTTTTATGGGTCCAAGAATATAAATATGTACCTTTCCCTTATAAAGAAACATCTTAATTCTATTCCCCTTTATGAAATAAAAGCTCCTTGAAAAATACGACAGGTTCAGGAAGCAAATGCTTAGGAAGTTTTCTGACATTAAACCACCCTGTTGTTTTAAAATAATCATATTCTATGAACATGTGCCTGCTGGTGGAGCAGAATACAAGTAGGATTAATCAATAACGTTCCAGAAGTTCTCCTCAGAACAACACAATTTTATAAAGACTGACAGTTTAATTAAGACAAAGCTAAAACATTTATACGTAGTGACGATTAAAACAAGAACAGATTTTAAGCTGAAAGGGCTTCTGAAGGTCATTAATACAAAAAGGATGAAAAACTGCATTTTCTACAAAAACTATGATGTGAAATTTCGGGTATAGTTTTAAAAAAGAAAGAAGGAGAAAAGGCCCCAGACAAAAACAAATATTTTTGTACAATATTTCTTAATGTCAAATTCTGTAATGTTTATATCATTAGAATCAACTTACTTATTTTATCTCTTGGATTTCAGATGGAATTTTAGAAAATACCTAGCAATAAAATAGTTCTGAAAGTGCTTCCTCAAGTTCTTTGGTATAATTTGGTCTTTTTAATAGTAATCAACCCATTAAGTAAGTACTTTAACGTCCGTGTATCAACGAAAATGCAATGAGGGGTAAAAATGTTTAGGAAACCAAAGAATAAATTACATTTTGACTTCATGGAAAACAGAACTCTAAAATTATATTTGTGTTTCAAGTGGCAAAGATATCCATACTGCCTACAAGAATGCCTCTAACTTGATTTATATTAAAGAAATGCTACATAAAACATCAAATGATGTCCAAACACTTACGATTCTTTTTCCTTCTCTAAAAATATCAATATTTTTTTTTTTTTTTTTTAAGATGACCGGTAAGGGGATCTTAACCCTTGACTTGGTGTTGTCAGCACCACGCTCACCCAGTGAGCTAACCGGCCATCCCTACATGGGATCCGAACCCGTGGCCTTGGTGTTATCAGCACCACTCTCTCCCGAGTGAGCCATGGGCCAGCCCTAAAACATCCCTTTTTGATTATTAGAATAAGTGTTCTATATACTTTTTTTAAATTAGAAGAGGCAAGTTGAAAAACAAATATTTTGCGCAGCCTTGTAACACCAAGGTCAAGGGTTTGGATCCCCTGACTGGCCATCTGCAGAGAAGAAAAAAAAAAGAAAAAGAATATTTTGAATTTCATAAAGTTATACCCTTTTGTGCTTTCTGATTCAGTGAATGTCAACATCTAGAATTTAATATCAGTTTGCAGAATGTTAAGGAGTATTCTTTTATTTCAGGAGACAGCTAATTTTCCTCCTGAAGCATTTGCTCTATTTCCTTATCCCAGTTTTCATCTCGTTTCTCTGATTCTGTCACCACTTCGTATTCTTGAAGTTCCTGTTGTAGCTCTTTTTCCCAATCTGCGCCATCCTCTAAAAGAAACAAAGAAGAAGGAAAAGATTCTTTGAACTCATAATGCTGGTGTTAACAATTCAGTCAACTTAATTACCTACGTAAGTATTAACCATGGTAGTGTGTGTGTGTGTGTGTGTGTGTGGGGGGGGTGTATGCTCAAAAAACTGAACAAATTTTAACAGTGAACAAGGAGAAATATAATTGGAATTATATATTTAACATTATAACATTATAATATATTAACATTTCCATATTAACATTTGTTAATGTAGAAGAAGCAAAGGTATCAGATATTATCAATAAATTTTGGGTGTTATTTTGCTTTACCTAGGCCTCTGCTTTTCCTTTTATTTAAATGGATAATTGATAATTAATATTTGGCTGCAAATTAATTTTTACCCCTACCAATGATGACGATGGTAGCAAAAACAGCTAATGTTTTGGGCCGGCCCGTGGCTCACTCGGTAGAGTGCGGTGCTGATAACACCAAGGCCACGGGTTCGGATCCTATATAGGGATGGCCGGTTTGCTCACTGGCTGAGCGTGGTGCTGACAACACCAAGCCAAGGGTTGAGATCCCCTTACCGTTCATCTTTTAAAAAAAAAAACAGCTAATGTTTATCAAGCATTTATAAGCCGGGCCCTGGCCTAACTGCTTTCTATGTATCACTCTTTTCATCCTTAGAGCAATCCATGGACAAGATACCACTATTATCCACATGTTAGAGATGGGGAAACTGAGGCTTAGAGGTTAATCGACTTGCCTAAGATAATACCTCTTGACAGTGATATGTACCGATGGAACCAGACCTGTAGGTTCCTCAGCCTGGGCTTAACCACTACGCTGGCAAAGATTCTGTCTCCCCAGAGTGGCAACACACACCCGGATGTGAAGTCAGGTGGTTTCTCCCATGGCACTCCATCTAGAGCGCTCACACTGGTCTTCTGTGTTGAGATTTAGAGCTATAACTTTCCACTTGGACACTCAATATACCTGTGTGCGTGTGTGTGTGCATGTGCATCTGCTATGCAGCGTTATAAAACAATGAGAAAACTGGCTATTTAAAAAGGAAAGCTAAGAGATTCATTTCCATCTTTTTTTTTTTTGGCAGCTGGCCAGTATGGCATTTTTTCATCTTTTAAAAATAAACCTTAACACTAAGGTCAAGGGTTCAGATCCCCTTACTGGCCAGCCACACACACAAAATGCACCAATAAATAAATAAACCTTAAACTTAGTAGTTATAGAAAAAACAAAACTGAAATGTCTTAATTTTTCTGCAGCAGTGACCTCAAGGGAAAAGAGGTGGTGTGTTGTCTAGGAAACCCACCAATTTCACAAATATTTACTAGGTGCTTCCTGAGTGCTAAGCTCCATGTTAGGTACTGTAGAGGGATAGAAAGACAAGGTGTAACTGCCCTTAAGGAGCTTACAATTTAGCTGGGGAGCCAAGACACATAATATATAAAAGCATTTTAAGTGGTCCAAATTATAAATTGGGCAAGAATTGCGAGAAAGAACACCTTACCTAGATCCTGAGCCAGGGCTCCTTCCAGTCGCCTGCGGGGCCTCTGCCACTAGTGTCATCACCAGTAAAAAGGAACCAGTGCAAAGTTTTCTATACCCATTGCCTATAACACACGGGGCTCACGATCTCTTTCCTTCTGTGCTGGCCAGCAGCCATCCTTCAGAAACTAGATGGGGTGGGAGTGGTCTGAAGGGCCTAAAGAGCCCAGGTTTTTATTTTAAATACTTTGAGCCGGTACAGGGATCCTAACACTGTCTCTTCCAAAAAAAAAAAAAAAAAAAAAAACCCAGGTTGCACGTCCTCACTCACTTCTCTTTTCCCCGCCACTCCCTCCCTTCCTCCTTCCTTCTTGATTCTCTCCTCCAGAGTTCCACATGCAAACAGGATCCCGGTTCAACTTTCAAGGCTACGTTTCTAGCTAGCGCTCTTTGTACAACTGTGGGAAGAGCTGGCTTCCTGGACGCACTGTAACTCTGAGAAGGCGTCGGGAAGCACTCTTCATTTGATGATGATTTACCCATCCTTCACTTTTCATCCAATAGAAAGCCAGTAACTTGTCCTGATGGGCCAAAGCAAGCAGCCCCCCTCTAGCTCTTTTCTTCAAATTAGTTTTTAAAGGCAGCCTGCTCCTTCCCAAAAGCAATGCTCTTTTTTACATGCAGTAGCTGGGAAAAGAATCTTCTTTTTTTTGTGTGTGTGGGACCCGTAAGGGGGTCATAACCCTAGGCGTGGTGTCGTCCGCACGGCGCTCAGCCAGTGAGCGCACCAGCCATCCCTATATAGGATCCGAACCCGTGGCCTCGGTGCTCCCAGTGCCGCACTCTCCCGAGTGAGCCACGGGGCCGGCCCAAAAGAATCTTCTATATCCATGTCTATGGCCAAGCAGAATGCTATCTTTTAAAGCAAAAGCTGGAGGGCAGCGGCTCCACATGCCCCACGCATGCTCTCTTGCCTCATTCCTAGCCACATGTCCTTGGGGCTGAAGTGCCTCAGGCAAATCACTTAACCTCTCTGAGTCTCAGTCTCTCCCCTCCATGTTGGGGGTTGCACCAGAGGAGCTCTAAGGTCAAATGAGACTCTTCCAAACCCTTCTATCACTTCCATGAGTGCTTAACACAGCAGGACGTGAGGTCTGGTCATGTTTGCTAGCATCCACCTTCTAGTGGGGAACACAGAATCAACGCTGATGCGAAATTGACAACGTATTTTTGTGCGCTGGCTTCAGGAAAATAATTTTCTACCATCGACTCTGGAATTAGGGGAGAGAACAGATGCTTTGTGTTATACCTTCGAGGATGGCTGTCTCCTCTTCCTTCTTGTCAAGCACTAGTTGCTCCATCTCTTTCCTCAGATCTTCCTTATTTAAGTTACAGGCATCGAAGGCATCACTGACAAACTCAGAAACACCTGGGCTAGTAGAAATTTCTTCTTCATACTGAAATGCAACAAATGAGCTCTTGAGATGGTTTTCTAAGTGACATCTATGTGCTAGAGTTCTGGTTTACTGTCTCACAACATAACACAGCCTAGTTTCCACCTCCTTCCTCTGCTAGCTGTGAGACAACGATCACTGCTCTCCAACCTGCAAACTGACGCGGTTGCTAGGTAACGAAATGAGCTACCGCCTGAGGCTGTTATTTTCATTCCCACCACCCTCTCTCCTCCCTGATGAGCACATCTGGAATTACCGATGCCATTAAATCTCCCATGTCCCAGCTCTATGTCCTGACTATTCAAGCACCGGAAACCTCTTCAAAACAGGTAAGACCCACATTCTTACGTACTTTATTTTTTATTTTACTGGTGGCTGGCCAGTACAGGGATCTGAACCCTAGACCTTGGTGTTGTTATAACACCACACTCTAATCAAATGAGCTAACCGGCCAGCCTGTACATAGTTTAAAATGGCATCAGAAATAATTAAGTTACTTCATTTCCAGACATCCACTACTAGGTACAATGTAAAACTATATTACCTCTTGAGTTTTAAGCTGAGATTTGATTACAACAGGTGGCGTTTTGGGCCGTACTGCCTCTAAGAGGTGAGAATAAGAGAGACAATAATTGCTTGATTCAGTTCTGAATACATATTATAATAACAGCTAAAATAAAATATCCACAAGTATGATGATACTAAATAATTGTCAGAAATGAGCTTTTATGTTATGCTTTCAGCTTTTAAGTTATTATAAGAAATAGCCATGTGAAACCATCTCAACCTCTTACTTCCGTGGATATTTTTAATGTCATCATATTCAATGCCCTTTTATAAAATTTCCAGCAGAAAATAATTTTTGACTTCAGTGTTAGCAAAATTTATTGAAGAATAGGTCTGTTCTTTCTTTTAGTATAATAAGAATTAAGTTCTATATCAAGTTTCCCTGTTGTCACAAATGCTAGAAAGTGCAGCAGCAATCGCACCGCTCAATCACAGCTGCCTTCCCTTCCTTCGGGACCTCCTTTTCTATCCTAATAACTTTACTAGACAGGCAGTTTTCACTGAATACTGTCTTAAGTTCATTTTGTTAAACAGGTAGTATTTGGTAAAATGGCATTTTCCAATAAGATTAATATAAAGAAATGTTAAAGAATGACAGTTGGGATGCATGCTAACATCTTTGTACAAAAATGGCAAATTTCACTGGGTAGAGCAACTTCATTACATTTCCCTGACCCTAAATGCAGTGTCACCTCCTTTCCTGGTAGTCTGTACAGCCTGTACCTTAAGATGTGCTGTTCTGCTTGATCACTTAAAAGTCCATGAACGAAATTACCCCACTTCCTGTGGGATCAATGTCAAGTTGTAATTAGTACCTACCTATACATAGCAGGTACTCACTAAAACTTAAAAATATGACACAAAATACATTTCTTACTTTAATTTTTACTACAGATATCAAATAATTGACGATATTATAAAACACTCTCTCCTACAACCAGGGATGAAGTGTCACAATAAGAAAGTGTCAAATGTTTAGTTTAATTGTGCCTCGCACAGAGCTGGACACTGGGAACTTGGAGTGGAACGGAGCTTCATTCTGCTCTACAGACTACATGTGCTGAGGAAACATCTGGCTGAATGAAAGACTGAGAAACAAAAAAAAGGAGGTGGATTGAATCAGAGTGGAGGACAGAAGGTATAAAAAATCACATGGTAGGGCCGGCCCGTGGCTCACTCGGTAGAGTGCGGTGCTGATAACACCAAGGCCACGGGTTCGGATCCCATATAGGGATGGCTGGTTAGCTCACTGGGTGAGCGTGTCGCTGACAACACCAAGTCAAGGGTTAAGATCCCCTTACCGGTCATCTTTAAAAAAAAAAAAAAAATCACATGGTAGGGCCGGCCCGTGGCTCACTCAGTAGAGTGCGGTGCTGATAACACCAAGGCCACGGGTTCGGATCCCATATAGGGATGGCTGGTTAGCTCACTGGGTGAGCGTGTCGCTGACAACACCAAGTCAAGGGTTAAGATCCCCTTACCGGTCATCTTTAAAAAAAAAAAAAAAAAAAAATCACATGGTAAAGAGCAAGAAAAGAGATGCGGGAAGATGACTGGTGTTGGAGAGAGAAATAAACAGAAAAAACCACAAGGCACGAGAAAGGAAGGAGCAAAGGAAAGGAAAGCTTGGAGAAAACGTGTGAGCTGGCTCAGAGAGAGTGCAACAAGAGAAAAATGAAGATTGCCTTTTGGAAGAAAACCATTTTTCCATAAGATGACAACATTTCTGGCGCATGTAAGAAGACAAGCTCATTAGAGTCTCTATGTTAAGAATAGTTTCAAAGTAACTTTTTTTCCCAGAGTGATGTCCTCTCCCCGGATTGTACCTGCCAGTGGCAAATTGTCCTCCTTGCCAGCACCCTTCTCTTCCTTTCCCGCCGCCTGCTGCTGGGCGGCCAGGGCAGTGAGCTGGGCCGACTGCTTAATCAGGGAGACCCGGTAGAAGTAGTTCCTCCAGAACACCTCTTCCTTTACGCTTTTAAAGACAGACAATAACACAGTAGAGAGACAGACAATAACACAGTAGAGAATGAGTACATATAAAGGCACGTGGGGGTTGTTTGCTGTAGTGGAGACTGGAATAGATGATTGATTTTTCAGAGCACTTTCAAATCCGAGTGAGGTTCAAAGGAGATTCTTATTTGCTTTAGGACTGAAAGTTGAACGACAGGATAAACAGAACAGCTATCTTCTCCACAGCAGCAAAAGACAAGTTCCAGAAGGCCAATGACACCTCAGCATTTCTTGGTATTTTAATGACACCACTGCTGCCCTCAGCAGAGGGAAACGGCACTGTTGTGAAAGCAGCATGATCGGCCTGAGACACTGGAAGCAGAACCAGGACTCCACCAATCGGCTGCTGTTTCTGGAGGATTAAATGCTTTCAAGCAGTGAGAAGAAAGCATTGTGGGTGTTGATCTTTATGAAAGGAAATGTTTGGCAGCTTAACAAGAGCAACCAGTAAGAGTCAGCAATGACGTGGGAGGCGGCTGATAGGAAGACTGAAGTGCAGTTCAACCTGAGAACTCTCAGTGGTTCTCAAACTTGGCTGAACATTAGAATCACACAGTGTGCAGTGCTAGTGCCCAAGTGGGGTAAGGTAAGTGTCTACACAGGGTGGTGGCCTGGAATGGAGGGTGAGAACTGAGCAGAGAGAGAAGGGTGTCTGAGCAGGGGAGTGGGTCATGGCAAAAATGGAAGATTGGTTACATGCAGGGGGATTAATCGAATAAACAAAAATATTAAAGATAACAAAAACCAGGTTTCTCACTATCAGAGAAGGGAGTTACTAACATAGAAAGGGAAAAATAAGAATAATCCCTATGGTGAGATAGCACTGTGAACGCATGGTTTTCATTCCATACAGACACAAATGAGCACAGGCACATTCCCTAGCTGCGTCCAGTGACAGGATGAGGAACAGTGACACCCCAATGGTACTGAGCACACCCAGTGCCCAGACCTTGCTTTCTAAATACCATCTTCCTCTAAAAGAGACCAGAGCTCCCTGGATAAATGGCCGACTCCAGGGTTAGAGCAGGGGAAGAACAAGATGAGGCCGGACTACCTTGTGCCAGAAAGTAAGGAAGCACTCAAAGATTGATGGGGATGAGTCCAAAGGACACAGGAGTCAGCTTCAACAGGCTCCCACTGGTCAAATGGATGATAATTTGAGCTTCAGAATAAATAATAATAGCAACAGATTATAACCCATTGCATAAAATAGGACAATGAGTCCATACAGACATACTTGAAAACATGGAAAGTTCGATGAGGAATGGAGTAATTAAAGAGTTTCAAAATATCTCCCCTGGGCTGGCTGCTTAGCTCAGCTGGTAAGAGTGGTGGCTTTTTTTTTTTTTTTTGGCAGCTGGCTGATATGGGGATCCGAGCCCTTGACCTTGGTGTTATGAGGACCACATTCTAACCAAGTGAGCTAACGAGCCAGCCTGAGTGGTGTCTTTTTAACACCAAGATCAAGGTTCAGATCCCCCTACTGGCCAGCTGCCAAAAAAAAAAAAAAAAAAAAAAAAAAAAAAAAAAAAAAAAAGTAACCAAAACCCCCACACCTCCTCACAAAATACTTACTACTTTAAAGTCAAGGAGCCCTTCAGACACCACCTTCATCAAAGTGACCAAAGCGTGAACATCAATGGGACAAATGGCAGCGTATGCCACCTCAGAGGATGCAACCAATTGAAGGAGACTGACAAGACATGAAGACTAAGTAAAACCTGTGAGTCTGAACTGGATCCTTTTGCTAAAAAAGGACATTATTGGGTCAAATGGAAAAACCTGAATAGGGTCTGAGAATTAGACAGTAATAATGTGGATATAATCAATCATTTTCTGATTTGGATGGTCACACTGTAGTTATGAAGGAGAATGCTTATTTGTAGGAAACACATACTAAAGCATTAATAATAGCAACCAGTAAGAGTCATGGTGAGCATGGTGATGGGGCATCAGGTCTCAAATGCTTCAGAAAAAAGTTCTTTATATTGTACTTCCAACCTTTCTGTAAGTTTGTGATTGTTTCTAAATAATAGTAATTAGGGGGAATCGAGGAAGAAAGCAGGACAGAAAAAGACTACAAAGGATTAGAAGAAAATCAGTGAGAACTAACAGAAAACACTGAGACCTAGGTTTGTGAATCAGGACAGGGCTGGCCTCAGATAAGACACCAGAATGCATGGTCATCACTTCTGTGAATGGTGAAGCCAGTAGCTAGCTTTTTAAGTGACAGAGGTAAAATGCAAGAAACCTGCAGAAATTTGCTGCTAGATATGGCCAATCTTATCTTTTACTTATTCTACCAATATTACTGAGTGTCACGTGCACCAGGCATCATGCTTGGTACTGGGGGGATTCAGGGATGAATAAGACAAGTGGTTTGCCATGAGAGATCTTCAAAGGGTTAATAACCTCTCACTTGTTAAGTCTTACTACGTGCTGAGCAGCATTTCCCAAACTTGTGGGGCACACACCTCTTTTCTTCTCATAACATCTCTTGGAAGTAGTTTGGCAAGAGGGAGACCTGGCTTAACAGCAGGTCATAAGGAGTTCCAGCTGACCACAAGAGCAAACACTATGCTGCAGCTGCTGGAAAAGCTGATGAAGCCTTAGGCTGCATTAAAAAGCACACAAGACGTGCTATGGCACGCTCTTCTGCAATTAGACAACAGGTCATATTCACTCCTGAGAACTTTTTAATGACAACACTGCCAAACCCCAAGGTATCTAGAGGCTAATCACCTGGATGGTGAGGGGGTGCAGACACCAAGACACCTGGGGGAATTAAGAACTGGGTCTGTTTATACTGAGAGGTTCAAGGGTCTCAAACTCTAACACCAGAGCCATGCAAAAGTGCGATTAGCACTCCCATGAGGCAGTGGGCTGCCTCAATATCTTCACAGTTGCTTTTAATTCTGAGCTCTATGAAATGTCCAAAATGAAACATAGGTGTACCAGGCATCTCTGGTGGATCATGGGCACTGTTTACTCTTGATTACTAAAAACAAATCTCCGGACTGCTTTCTTTTCCAGAGTCTCTCCCTCTTGATGGAAGAGGAAGTGGTCACAGAGACACACTGCAGACATATTCTCTGTCAGCCTCTGGGGAAGAGCTGCGATACAGATGACACACTAAAGGTTCTGGGAAGCCCTCTGATAAAGAGATCTATTGAGTGTAGCAACTCCCAAGTGTTTATCTGACTACTTCTCTTCCATGGACTCTTTTAAGGTGTTAGTATCCTATAAACACTCTTTGGGCAACACTGAGCAAATGTCACAGCCCGAGGCTGAAAAGGACTTGTAGATTTGCCTACTGCCGCCAGAGTGAGGGCCTCAGAGGGCGCCTGTGATGCACCAGCAGAGCCCCATCTCAGTCATGGCTTCAGGTTGTCATAGGGAAGTGCTAACATGCTAATATGTGTTTTGAAAATACAGTGCAAGTATTGTTTTGTCTTCTAAAGTGTTCCTAGGTCATGATGTCTTCTGTTCACAAAAAATGTTCTCAAATGATCAAAGTTGCGTGTGTTACGGAGGTAAGTTGGGAAGCCCTATATTTGTGTGTGATGGTTCGTTTTTGTTTTATTATGGAAATTTTAAACAAAACCAAAGTGGAGAGACTTGAACAATGAGCTCCATCTGCCAGTGACCTACCTTCCAAGATTATCAGCATTTCCCAAATCGTGTGCCCTCTATACCTCTTCCCCGCATGCATGATCTTCTTTGGGTGGGGGATGGAATATTTCAAGGCACATGCCAGACATCATATCCTTTCATCCATAAATACTTCAGTAAGCATTTCTAACAGATAAGGGCTTATAAAAAATAATGACCATAATTTCTACTGTCAGCAGTGGGAAGGAGTCCAGAATTGTCAAGAACCAAAACTATGGACAGCTACATGCCTGCCGTGAGCACCACACGCCACAGATCCCAGCAACTCTGGGCCTCTTGACAGTCCTGGGAATCACAGCATGTCCTGGGAGCCCAACATGTGGCCCAGGGTGATTCGAATGGTCTCCATGTTGCTGGAGCCTGCAGGTGTGAAGCCCATGTGGACCCCTGAGCTTTGGTACTCTTCCCTTAGTTACTCACAATAGGCACAACCTCAAATTCTGAGAGAAAAGGGCTTCTCACAGATACACACACACTGTACATATACATCAATTGTTCAAAAGTTAATTCCTATGCTTCTGTCAGCATATGTAGAAAAAAGATTAGATGGGACTTTTTTATAACCTTAACTAAAAACAGCTATTTTAGGTACAGTCTAAAGATAAATTTGTAATGAGTTTAGCCATAAAACACATTTGTTTTGGGAGGGTGGGGGAGGGCTGTAGAAATTCACCATGAATATGTTAATAATTATGAAGTTTCACTGCAAAGAAAAAAAAAAGATTCTGTGTAACTATTTTTCCAAGTCTGGAAGAACACTTCCAAAGTGGTGTTCTTACATACACAGAAGACGTGGATTGCTGTGTGAACCAAAAGGCTAGCAAATGCTTGTTCAAACTCCCATGTGGCCAGCTAAACAGCAAAATGAACATGTGTTTATCTGCGCTCCCTCTGAAAACACCACGAAAATAACAGAGAAGGAATTATATAGATAAAACCCACAAGGACAAAGAGAAGGGGAGAGGAATGAACAGGTAAATAGTAATGTACTGTGTCAACCAGAGAAAGGTGCACCTAGCTGCCCGCATGAGGGGCAGCCGGCAAGAAGTGGGCCTGGGCAGAAGCTCAGAAAGACCTGGGACGGGAGGTGCTGGGCAGCTCAGAAAACCAGGCTGGGAGCAGGCTGGGCTGCAGCAAGTTGGAGCAGTGAGATGGCTCTGGACCCCGCCCCACCCTTCCCACGTGGCAGACATGCATAGATGGCTCACTATGTGGGGAGGGTGAGGTGGGCCACTCTGCACTCAGGGACAGCTAGTGCAGCTGAGACTGGGGGTGCGACACCATCCTGAAGCCACGGGGTCAGGGGACAGTCTGCATGTTGTCTAGTGCCAGGCCAGGCTTTCCCTGTTGTCTGGGGAGAGGAATCCTGGGGGTGGGGGTGGGGTGGGGGGAGGTACCTGCCCACAGCTATGGAGCCTCCCCAGTCTAAAAGGCCTGTCAGAACATACAGTGGCCGAGCACCCTTCCGGTATATGCCCTTAAAGCTAAAGAATGGGTAAGGACATCCTGTGACAGGAAGGAGCCAAAACAAACACAGATGCCGAGAAAACAGCAGAGAAAAAAAGAGTATTCCAAGAAAACACTCATGTCCTCAGGGAACAGTAAGATACCGCATCCATGTAGCAAGGATAAGAGTGCTATAAAAAAAGGGAACATTCACAGAGTAAGAAAGAACACTGACTTTAAAAAGGTGACAAGGGATGGACTAGAAAAGGTGAGGAAGGGCGGGACACTCAAAGGCCAAGGGAAGCAGCAGAGGGGAAGGGCGCCCTCTGCTGGCGGGGCCAACGGGGAAGGCTTCACAGAGCACATTATGCTGGCACAGGAGCTTATCAGAGCAGGGAAGGGCCGTGGGTGGAGGAAAAACCAAAGGAAAGAGAACAAGAACACTGCTGCTGGAGAGGAGAGCCTAAATGGAGAACATCCTTAGCTTGGAAAAAAAGGCAAGGGCCTGGTCCTGATGGGCCCTGTAGACCTGAGTTTCATTTGGGGAGATACAGGGAATGTTCGTTGTTTTGGTAGGAAGATGTGTTGTCTTCTAACTGGGATAAAAGAGCACATCTTATCCCCACCCTGAATTTCCTGCCAAGTCTGCCCTTGGTTTTGATTCTAGGGTGCCCTGCCAGCGGAAAGCTGCTAAAAGACTGCAGGGCCCATTTTTATGAACAGGTAGGCTGAGACCATTTTGGCCCCCCTTCCATGATTCTTCTCTGATAATGTGCACACGACCAAGGCCATTAGCAAATGGGAATGCAAGCTGCGTGTGCGGCACTGCTCCAGCTTGAGAAGGCACTGCTTACAGTTTAGGAACAAGGGCGAATCTCATCCTACTCAGTAGCTCGTCCTCCTGGAGCATGACCAGGGCAGTGGGGTACATCTGATCAAAGTCGAAATTAAACGGCACACCGGCTGGAGGGTCACGAAGGAAATTCCTCTTGTCCTTTGATGAAAGGGGAAAAAACATGGGGGGGGACCACAAAATGCTATTAATATAGAACAATGTATGATGGATTGAACAAGTACTAAATTCTTCCTAAAGCCTTCAGCCATGAAATCCACTGAGCTATCATTAACCTGTCTGCTTAAGAGAGACCAGAGAACAACTGATCTTTCCATATATTTTCTAACACTCTCAAATGGAGACAGCCTCTTGGGAGGCCAGGAAATTCAATCATGTGATTAGGTGAAATCACAGTTTGAAATCATATGAATATGTGTTTTAGTGGACACCTTTAGGTATGTGAAAACTAGTGTAAATCCTCTTAGAAACATTCTAAACCAAAGTTGAAGAGTTGGCTAGCCATGTGGTCATGTGAGAAAAGTGAAATCCACAACCCAACTTTTTTTTTCCCCCCTTTCTTCCAACTCATTTCTTAAATGTCCACAGACCATGCTTTTGTCCCACATCTCTTGGATAGAGGACGCAGCCCAGGCTCCGCCACCTCAGTCCCTGTACTAAGGGCCTGGGAACTCGACAGTGACAGAGAGACACAGACAGTTGTTCCTCTCCTCAGAGTACATCCCAGCTGGGGAAAGGTTAGCTGGTTCACTTGCCAAGCCTTTGCTGAGCACTGGCGCCAAGGCCAGGGGCTCTCACCCAATGCCCTGACTTATTTGCTAACCACTGCATGAAGCAAGCACTTCTATCCTTATTTTACAGATGAGGATATGGGGTTAGGGGAACAAAAATGGCTTCTTCAAGGTCAGGTGTGCTTTAGTGAGTGGCAGAGCCAGGACTCCAGGACTCTTCCCTCCTGGGTGCAGTTATTCTCCTGCTCTGGCAGAGCCGCAAAAAAGAAAAAAATGTGTTGAATTCCCACAAGTAAGTATAGTTAAAGAGAAAATATAGAATACAATCATTTCATACACAAGAATTAGAATGCTGCCTACAAACCTCATATGATAGTGCATCTCAAAAGATAATCTTAATAATATAAAAGAATCTTTTTAAGGTTGAAAAGAATTATTTCACATAATAAACTATACTTTTAAATTATGAAAAAAACCTTAAGGATAAGCAAATTAAAAGTTACTAAAAAAAATAAAAGGGCCGGCCCGTGGCTTGCTTGGGAGAGTGTGGTGCTGATAATACTAAGGCCATGGGTTCGGATCCCATATAGGGATGGCCGGTTCACTCACTTGGGAGAGTGTGGTGCTGACAACACCAAGTCAAGGGTTAAGATCCCCTTACCGGTCATCTTAAAAAAAAAAAAAAAAAAAGTGAAAGGTGATGTGTATGTTCCTAACATCTCAAAATATTAAAAAAAAGTATGGAAGAAAAAAATTCTGCTAAGGATAAAGTCATATCAACAGTAATGCACCATGATAGGAAGAAAGTATGTTATCACAAGACACTTACAGCTGATAAAGCCAAGATCTGTTGTTGAATGGTTTCTTCATCACTACTGTCAACCCATGGGGGCACAGCTGCATCTACACGGTTTTTAATGGCAAAGAAGAAAAGAGAAAAAACCGGTTATGATGGTTATATTGCAATCTATGGTTTCAAAGAATGAGAATATTTCTACATGACCATTTAAAATGGCAATTTAGGGGCCGGCCTGTGGCTCACTTGGGAGAGTGTGGTGCTGATAACACCAAGGCCATGGGTTCGGATCCCATATAGAGATGGCCGGTTCACTCACTGGGAGAGCGTGGTGCTGACAACACCAAGTCAAGGGTTCAGGTCTCCTTACCGGTCATCTTTAAAAAAATAAATAAATAAATAAAATAAAATGGCAATTTACCAATCAGTTCCAAATATTAACTCACCATAATACCTAGACTAAACTCATGAGTTTTACGCATGTATGCATTTGGTAAGAAAGAACTCCACTTGAATGATGCAGATGAGAAATAAGACACCTTAACCAGGTGATCAAAATCAACATCATCGGGCCGGCCCGGTGGCGCACTGGATAGTGCGCCGCTTGGGAAGCGCGGCGGCGCTCCCGTCCGAGGGTTCGGATCCCACATACAGACCGGCTCCCGCTCACTGGCTGAGCGAGGCGCGGGAGCAAC